TGAGCAATACCCAGAAACTACGCTTGCGCTGGACACTAGAGTTGAGGCATACTTAGGGGGTGGGTGGGGGCCGACTATTGGAACTTCAAATTGTGAATCAGTACCCAAACCCTCAATCCCAAAATTGCTTCAACTTTGAATTCATGCCTTCTTCATGGACTACCCTGGACATTCCTGCAAGCTTTCAGATTCTATATATGGGGGCCTGAACAATTTCCCATATGATTTCAAGGTCTATATGTGAGGTACCTTTTAATACTATAATTCGTTATATATAGTTGTATCAGGAATCTAAGACCACAATATCATCTTACGAAATTAAATGCCGGACAGCATCCATCGGCCAGGGGGGACCTTCATTTAAATGCCACCTTGCCAGGTCAAGCTATAAGCAAGACAAAGCCCCCACCAACCGAAACTGGCCGTGATCCTCCGTCACGCGCAGGAGGATGTCCAACATCCTTCGTTGCAAGCACCATCGACAACCAACCCCCCAAGCCGCCAAACTCCTTGAGTGAGAATCCACTACACTCTCCACGGACCCTGAAGAAATCACATGCGCGGGGAACTGTTGTCGGTAAACATCCAACTGAAATATGCTGTTCAAAACAGCTAGAGTTTGCGGGACCTAGTGCTAAGAGCTAGTGAGCTGTCAGTGCGCCGCGATATTCGAAAAAAGCAGTACGGCTTGTCCGCAAGAATGGCTCATCACATGATCACGCGATGACTGACTGAACTTGAAAAGGGCTGGCTATGCCTAGGACGACTGCAGCGCGAGGAGAATCACCCAACATGTTGTAGTGCCTGACTACCCCTATGAAAGAAGCAAAGAAGGGACCGCAAAGAAGGGACCGCAAAGAGACAACTTGGCTGCAAGTGCAATGCAGCTGAGTGCCCCTAGTCAAACGGGCCATGAAGTTTGCTTCCATGATGCGGATTCAGTGTAGGCCACGCCACTCACAAGCCCCAGCTTTCAAAATGCAGTTGCAGAAATGCAGCTCAGGACTCTCAACTTTCCCTAGTGACAACGATCCTTTTCAACATGCCAGCATTTACAGCATGGACTCACAACATGAAGTTAAACACAAACTGCAAATCACTCGCCGGGCAGCGGCGTCGGCGAAGGGAATAGCCTCCATGTCATCCCCGGGCACATTGTAGGTTGGGTCGTTCCCCATTCCATTGAAGTCACAACCCTGTAGGATGTTGTGCTCCGGGGCTACTATTCTATAGATATGCATGCCTATATATTATGTGTGCGCATACTACCGTGTGTGGCAACTGCTGCTGTTGAAAAGATGGGCCAAGGGTAGTTCAGCTATAAGCTTTTGGACGCTGCAGGGGCCCTCCGGCTTCCTTCTCAACTCTCATGATCTGGTTCCTGGACGCTGAAAAAGATATGCTCTTTCTTTTTGAGAAGTTGCCAATGACCATCTGTATGTGCATGTCAGCAGAAAGCCACGAAATCATATCATTCAGGTTTAACTTTTCAGAATATACCTCTAAATCATGACTCCGCGGCGCAAGAATCCCAAGATGATCCATTTTAAAAGGCACTATACGGGTTCTCAGGTTAGTTTTGGGCGGGGTGGCGCCTCAAAGGGGCCCCCGGTATGATAATCCTCTAGAACCGTAGCTGCCAATAAACTTACATGGAACCTGATGCCGGCCCATGTGAATGATGAGGAAGTGGACGATGACTGGAAGAGCCACGGATTCGGAAATGGTAGCAACAGCATCACGAGCAACGGGAACAGCGACAGCAGCAACAACAACGCGACCACCACGGCGACGACGAGGAGGAGCAGGAGGACGACGACCACGACGGCGACGACGACAAGGAGAAGAACAAAAACAATAACAATAACCATAAAAATACCAGAGCGACCACCACTGCCGCCGCCGCCACCACCGACACCGCCCCCCGCCCCCACCCCCGCGCCCGCTGCCCCCGCTTCTGGCCCCCCTCCCACACCCGTGCCATCCCCACCGTCATCGCCACCGCCACTAGCACCGCCACGACAAAGACAACCACAACAAGAACAAGAACAGCAACAGCAGCATCACTATCAGCAGCAGCAGGAGCAGAAAGGAATAGCGATCACAAGAACAGCGGGGATGGCCACTACTACTGAGATGTGTTCAATACTGCATCGCTGCGGCGTGCGCCTCTTCACATTTTCCAGACGCTTCGTCTCCGAGAAGCGCGGATGCAGTGCTGAAAGAAGCTCCGCATACTCGGGGTAGAGCTCCCTCGTGCTTGGACTTACACATTGCTGTCTGTGGCTGGAAAGGGGTCATATATATATATATATGTACGTATACATATATGGGGTAAGCGGGTAACGGGTACGCTAAGTTCGAACTCATGTTTCCAGATCTTTGCCTGCAAGGCGGATGCAGGATTTGGGGCACAGGACTCTACAGCGCTAATGAGTGAAACATAAGGTAATACAAGATAGCAAGGGTATCTCAAAAGGAGAATGTCCCTAGGAACCCTAAGGATACATCGGGTTACAAGGGGATGACAAGCTCTCATGCTGCATATATGGAGAAAACATCTGAAAACGGGAATATCCAAGGCTCGCAACATTTTCGGAGTTTCCCAAAATGGCCCCTAAACCCTAAACCCATGATCCGTGAAGGTGCCAACCGTACTCTCCATGTGGCCCTTAGATACTCTTAAACACTCCCAGGGTCGAGCCATATGCCTCCTTAGTAAGCCAAGTATACCAAGTCCTAGCTTGTTGCAAGAAGCTCGCCGAACCCATTAATGACTCCAGGGTCCCAAAACGAAGGAACCTGGGACAACAAGATTCACCTGTACTAGGGACAATGAATAAAGTCATTCCCCTTGCCATAACAGTTGCCCCAATGTGCAATACAAGTTGGAGATAGCCCCGACGAGCCCTTTGACGAGAGCCAGTGTGAAGGGGAATGAGCCAAGTTGTGGAGCAATCTCCTAAAGCCCTCGAAAAGACGAAGCCCTGAAGCCCTAAAACTTCAACGATGAAAGGGAGGTGATGGTGGGGTTCTTTGATGCTGGGGGAGGATGCCTGTGGCCGTGCCTGGCCGACATGCCGCAGCTTGAGGTATTTAGGGTTGAGGGCTTGGGGTCTGTAGGGCTTAGGGTCTAGCTGGAGTCAGCAGCTGGAGGGCTTAGGAAAGTCTACCCTAAGGGTCCAAGGACCCAATAATCATAGACTTTCCCAAGACCTCTACTACAATTCCTAATACCAAAATCCCAACTAGATTGTTAAGTAAATGGACCTATAGGGTTGGGGTTTAAGGTTGAACGTTTAGGGTTTAGGGGCTAGAGTGATTAGGGACAGCCTGCTTGGGTTGGGTTGGAGAAGCCCTGGGAAATGTGAGGAGTTGTCACGCTTCACCTGCAATAGACCCTAAATTAATGTTTATATAAAGGGTTTGGGGTGTATACTGTTAGGGGATTAGGGTCTAGGGTTTACAGGAGGCCAATTTGGATTGATGCCAAGGCGGATCTCTACCCCTAGAACCCTGCAATTTCCCAGGCAGCAGAACATCCTAAACCCTAACTCCAAGGATTCGGGGTTGGGGTTTAGGGGTTTTGGGTTAGGGATTTGGGGGTTTAGGGTTTCGAGCTTTAAGGGTTTAAGGGTAGGAGTTTAGGGTTTGGGGGTTTGGGGTCCTAGCTTCCGACCGACCTTTTCTCAAGAAATCCATGTTCCGTCCTGAACGGCTTTCGTATTGTGTTGCACCAAAGCCAACCCGAAATGCCACAAATTCCGATCCCTTAGCCCACGCACCTAAACTTCGAGGCTTACCTGGAGCTGACTCTACAATTGGGTAACATATCTCATCTCCCTAGTAATACCACGTTGTATGTGTTTGTTAAGTAGGTTCCTTAACTGGGCCTAACCCATTAGTGACACCAAGTTCCCACACAACAAGCCTCAAAACCTCGTGCCCAACGGCACACTTTTCCAGTTTAGCCGCCTGAGGAGTTTGAGCTTCTTGTTCACACTCTGCTTTCTGCCCCCAAAGGTGCCTTTCAAATTTATAGCGCTGTCATTGTCGTCTCCTAGTTTAGCATTTTGTGATGTAGCACATCAGGCTTGCAGGAGTTCAGCGCGCCAGGAAGTGGTTCTGAAGCAGATCTCTAGATCAACCCAAAGGCCATCCATCCATCCATCCATACATACATACACGAATTCACACATACTTACATGCCCGAGCAACGAAACTGGGATGCTTGTTCCAAGCATCCTCCCAAAAGAGAACATCATGCTAGAACAGAATGGGAACCACCATTTCTGAGATCTCCAAATGTATATGCGGGCTTCCTAAAATTGGGTTCCCTTTTTTGGGCGATGCACTGTAGTCGACCAGGGTATGTAAGGTAATAGTGATAAAAGGTCCCGTATAGCTCGCGAGACTCTGAACCTTTCAAACAATGATTCTGAGCTCAAAGCCATAAACCCTAAAGGTTTAGGGTTTAGGGTTTAGGCCCAAGCCCTCGACCCCGAAACATCCCAGATCAACCTCGGAGATCTATCCGACAGACACCACTCAAACTGATTAATCTCCTTGTGGAAGTCTCTGAAACAGGGACGATCGATCATATCTTGAAGTATCTAAAGGGTGCCCCTACTTATGGAAGCTCCCATAAACCTAACCCCTCTCCTGAATATTAAGCACCTCCCGCCCCTAGTACTGAATGATTCCCGTATAGTAAGAGACCTCACATGTTGAGGGATATATCTTTCTTGAGAGGGAGGTGCTGGATGTTAGTATAAAATTGAATATCTAAACTAACCTATGCCGCACAGAACACTGCTCAAAAAGCAGCTGTGAACACCAGCCCAAAGCCCCGAATCCCTGAACCATCCAAGCCCAAGGTTCGGGGATTATATTTAGGGTTCAGGGGTTTTATAGGGCTAAAAACGGATCTTATAAGGCTTAGAATCCTTTGACCAGGCACCGAAGCCCCAAATCGAAATTTGCTGCTCCGAGCCCACGACCTCCGCCTCCTGGGATGGTGTCAGAAACAGTTCAAAGGGTAATCATCGTAATAATGGTAGCACTAGTAATACTAGTCGTTGTTGCAATAATTGTAATAGTAACATAACCGTAATAGAGTCAAGGCTTTGAGGGCTTAAGGCCTGAGTTTCTGAAGATGTGGGGCCTTGGGGCATGTGACCGCCGGAATTACGAAGGACTCTGGTGGGGTCCTTTAAGGGCTCTATAGGCCGTGCTTGCAGCTACCTCCAAGCAAGTAATCTTAGGGGGCTCCCAAGTTAGTAGGCCGGGCTGGAAATTGTGGCTGTCCTATTACCGAAATTCCGTTCAAGGGTGCATTCGACGGACAGCTCGAAAAAACAAGGGACCGCACGCCCAAAATGTACTTGTACGGGCTACAAGGCCAAGGACTCTGAGCTGGGGAGTCGGGTAAACAACTCAGTGCTTTGGGTTCAGGCCTTGTGAAGTCCCAGAACTTCCCAGTCGAAGTATCTTTTCGACCACGTTGAGAATTTGGAGGCCCATCGTTCCTTCTAGAGGCCTGGATTCAATCCACTTCCAACATCGTGAACCTGTGGGTCGCTGCAACGTCTGGTTCCTTATCGGTATATCGTACAACGTGTTCAGGTTTAAGTATAAGATTTGAGAAACATGGACAGAGACGCAGATTGAAAAGCTTGAAACTGTTGTCTTTCAGATTGCGGGTTTAGGGTTGAGTTCCCATTCCTGCCCCTATTTGGCCTTTGCTGAGCTAGATTCTCCCAACTGACCCAGACCTCCATTATTAAAGTCACCACTCGAATCATGCCTTGTCAGCATCAGGCACAGGAGTGACAACGCTTGTCGCATGAACCTCAATATACTATAACCCTTATAGCTACTCCCTCGACCCAAGCTTCCAACCCGAATCACTAAACCCTAAACCCCAAGCCCTTATCATCTCATCCCTACACCCTAAACCGGCTTAGGGCTTAGGAGTTATGAAGCTGAAGGCGTAAAGCCCAGACTTCGCTTTTGCACAGTGCTACCTGGAAGGGTTCAACCCAAAGGCTGGGTAACACCAGTTACCTAACCTTAAAAGGTCCATGTACCTAATGGGTTGAGAGCTTTGCGTTTAGGATTTTGGCATGCGCACTTGTAGTACAAGTCTTTGGCTTTTGGGCTATTGGGTACTTGGACCCTTAACGTACGGTTGAGCAGTACTTCGCCTCGAATCAGTTCTTATGGGAGCTGACCTAAATTACAAGTCCCCAAGGGAGAAACGCATTCAGGGACTCGCATGGGAACTGCAATACTACAAGCTGTGTTATAATGATTTGAGTCCAACCCCCCAAAACCATAGAACTACTGGCTACAGGAGCTGCCCTTAACTCTATATACGGCCCAGACGGAGCAAACCTTAGTCCGCACACACAGTAATGGGTGTTTCTCACGTTGTCCACTATAAGGGACCTTTGGCGTATATATAGGGAGCATATAGAAGATTATAGGGTCCTGATCAGGTTTGTGTAGGGTGAAAACTCCCTATATGGTGTAAGCGCAGTCATTAATCAGCTGAGCGACCGGTACGAAGTAGGCTATTGCGCGGAATTGCTGTGCAGTCAGGAACGGCTCGAACATGTCCAGCTCCTGTCTTGCACTACAAGAATCAAAAAGCATCGATTTCATGAGTGATGGACTTTTGCCAGACCTGGCTGACTTTTTGGAAGTGAATATGAGCCATAATCTAAACTCCTGGTATCTCCTTGACAACCCCTATAAGACTCCCCTATACCACCGCCGTTTGAGGTGTTTAGACTATAGCTCATATCATGAAGGTCAGTTCTTTCAACTCCTATCAATTCCGAGGATGCGTGGGCTCAGGTGAGGAGCAGCAAAACAATTTCCATCGCCTACCGTCCTGTTGCTATCATTATCTGCACCTGAACCCACCAAAACCTGTTTTTTTTTTGTGTGTGTGTGTAGGTTCCCTATGAATTCTATACTAGGGTTCATAATAGAACCCTACAAAAGATAGGTTTTGGTGGGGGAAGGTATTGCTTATATACTGCTATCAATTCCTAAGCTTTCTTGGGCTATGGGCAGGGAATCTGTGCGCTCCTCCCAAACGCTGTTTGCTGCCTTTGGAGCTTCAACAGGCTTATGTCGGCTCTAGCAAAAGCCTCTAACAATGACTTACATGTTCAAGCCTCCGCACTGAAAAGTCGCAAGCTATAATGCCATCTGCTGACAGCTGCATCACTCGAGAAGAAACTTGCTCGCCACCGAAGGACATAGGGCACTAGCTTGTACAAATTACCCTCTACACCAGAAGTTACTGTAATTGTTGCGTCCTGAGTGGATGATTTCCGTCCTCCACCATACTGTCCAAACATGTTCTTGAACTAGGAGTCAGCCATCGAATCATAGAAAGGGAAGATTGGGAGCTGTCACAATGAGGATTCCATTGCCTCTTTTGAATACCCTGAAGCATTAGTGGCCGTATGATACTGGGGACCCCAAGAGAAACCCTCAACCCTACCGAAACACAGGGCAATTTAGAATAATATTGATTCCCAATCTAAGGCCATTTGGCACTATTCCCTATACAAACCACCATTTTGGGTGAGGTCAGGTGAAATCGCTTTGAATTGCCCAGGAAACAAGAGGGACCATAAATTTGGCCCCAAGCCCTAAGCCCTAAACCCTACACCATGTACTGATCATGACCAGCAGCAAGCTGCAACTATCAAAGCTGCAGTTGGTGCTCATGTGTGCTACAATCAGTATTGTCTACCCAGTTTAGCAGGCGTGGGTTCCTTATTGGGGACTAACCACAAGAGAGTCCCTATGTCCACCTTTACTGGCCCCTTGGTGAAGCAAATATTCACAGTAGCTCATGTGCGGCATGTAAGATGTCTGTCTTAAAGGTGCCAAGTATGGAATGGAGGAATGGATCCCTATAATATAGTGGCCGCTATACAAACATCGCTTGCAAAAGTTCCTCTACTCCATCCTCCTTCATACTTATTCCCTGCATAATCACCACTCGCAGGCGCAAATGACGAGAGGACAGTGGTGCAGGCGGGCATGTGTTCAGGGTCAGAAACCTGAAGGTTGTTCTGTTTATGAAGTGCATTGGGAGCCTGACTATTATTGCCCCAGAGGCTCTTGCAAGTTCTATGGTGCTTAGTAGGGAGGGAGGGAATGTATCCCCTTGACCTCCCAAATATGGGTGGTTCAGGGTTTAAGGGCGGTCCAAATGGGGAATAAGGGGGACCTTGATTTTCTGTGAGCCCGCTCCTGATGTGCAAAAACCACTGGAATGCAGCCAAGGACGATGGAGTCCTCACGTGGGTTTCGGTAAGACTTACCAATATGCTCCCCTGGAATTTCTCCCTGTGCAGCCTATCACTAGGCTTACTGCATTGTTCCATCCCAACAGCGTGGTTCAAACATCCGAAAACCAAAATCGAAACTCAAAACTGGAACGAAACCTGTCTCCTTGCTTCACAAACTGTTGCAGAAGGCAGTGCTTGATTCCCCTTGTCGCAGTTTCAGTTTACCAGGGCTTCTCAAGCGGGATCGGCCGTCAGTTCGCCTAAAAACCTCTAGACTAGTTAGAGGAGTCCCCTGGGAAAACCCTGCACGGCCCTTGCCCCTGAGGCATGTTTCGGCACCTCTCGCAAAACTGCTCTTCCCGCGATGAGCAACATGCTACTGAGTAGTAAGGTAGATTCCTAGACGCCTGGGAAAAAAAGGGGCCAGACACCCTCAGAAGGACTGGTGCGAAAATCGGGGACCACTTGGAGATCTACCTGCGATAGCTCTTATCCCTGCAATGACTTTTGCGAAAGGGATTCTTGCTGCACGCAAGCCTCCTCCACAACCTCCTGTGCAACCTAATGTAGCAACATGCGCCACAGACGCTTGCTGGTCAACACCTCGGTCTTGTATAGTTGCAGAAGATGCAAGGTTCCAAGTGAGTGCATGTGCAGAGCCTCGAAGCCCTGGAGCTGTAGGTCAATGAGTGCGAAAACGCACGTGCAGTCACGACGCTCAATTCCGTTCGGCACGCAATGGCAGGCTCTAGGGCCTGAACCTTAAACTCTGCTAGGAGGAGCCTCTCGCACCCAAAAGTCAACAACTACAGCATGCGAGCCGAGACCTGAAAGACTGACACCCCCCCCTTGAGACTAGACCTATGTGTTAAGAGGAGTCCGTACCAAATCCGTCCCAAGGAATCACTTGACAAGCTATTAAAACTTCAACATTGCTTAAAGACGGGCGGCGACCAGGCTCTTGCGCGTGATGGTGTCTCCGGGAGGCTCAACGCAGAAGGTTGACTGAAGCTTGACAGCAGCAATGCGCGCATAAGACTCCCCTGGCAGGAAAATGAGTATTGTTTCGTTAGTGGTTGCACTATGCCAGCCAGTCCTAAATGTTTGGGACCATAGTATTTCCCCTTAGAAGCTTCTTGCACAAGTTAGATGGTGGTTGAAGATTATGCGGCCATGCAGGGTGCAGGTTCACCTAAACCCTAAACCCTTTTCCCTGAACCCTAAATCCCTAGCTGGAGATCATGGACTGGAGTTCCTGGGGCCTGCGACTTCCATCGTAAACCCTAAAGCCCTAAAGGGCTCACCACCCTAGGCCCTAAACCCTAATTGTTGGTTCATCCTATAGAGGGGTTTCCCAAACCTCCCGGTACTTTTTTAAGGTCCCAATAAGAAGGAATGATTGTAGCATTTTGGAGTCTATATTGCGGTCTCCCTTTTGATCCAAACTACCCAATCCAAAAAAATCAGAGCTATTGATCATGCGCTGATTTTCCTAGCCAGGCTTGCTCGGTGTGAGGCTTTAGGACTGTCCGGGAAGGTTAGAACCCTTCAATCTTTGCTGCGTAGGAAGCAATCGCATTCCTCCATTACGAATGACTCACACGCCCTGGGAACATTCCCCCTGTCTCCGGCATGATATATGCTGCTCCCCCAAACAATAGCCCCTCAATATATGAAAACTGTAGAAATTCTGATGGGAACCAAATATGCCTGTAGGGCCTATACATCTTGACATAAACCAATCACCCCTTGACAGTCAGACAGGGGGCTTTGCGATTAGGGAGGGGAGCACTGTATTCTTCGTGGAAGCGATGATGATTACTTCATTCCTGCATAAGCTGCGGCACATCAACAAGTGCATCCACAACCCCCCCCATGCACCCTGAACTGAAGCACCCAAACCTGCAACCAGTGCCCTGAAACCCTAAACTGGTTTGCTGTCAAGGAACTTAATGTTGGCTTCGGATTACTGAAGGGGGTCAGATTAGAGCTACATCGGGCCGTAACGGAATAGTATATAAATGGGTACGGATTAGAGCTAAATCCGGGCTGAACGGATTAATAACAACGCAGGAACGGAATAGTGCATGCTGGCTTCTGGATTAATTCAGGTTTGGGTCCAGGGTTTAGGGCTTTAGGTTAGGGGATCGGGGTTAAAGGTTCAGGGCGTTAGGTTCGGGCTTTAAATTCTATTTACAGCCTTAAGGTTCGGGATTGGCCCGGCCCCCCCAAACAAGTTTTCCCGAACTTGATTGGGGCCCCCAAGGATTATTCAGATCCCTCTACTTGTTGGGGGCGGGGGGGCTGTATAATGAGAACCACCACTAAACTAAGTCATCACTTTATGGGCAATATATGCGTAAATCATTGGGTTTCATTATCATCGCATTTTTTGAAATTCCTTAACAGCAACCCAGTAAACCGGCGCGCACCTTCTGATGGCTTCATGTCAGCCGTAACTTCGTTAAGGTTCGTCTCGCGTCCACATCTGCAAGAGACGTGAGAAGAGTGGATAATCAAGGCTGGGACCTTTGGTCAAAAAAGCAGGATTATCGGGGCTATATAGCGATAAGACCTATAAGGATTTCATCTGATTCAGATAGGGGTCATATGGTTCCAATGAAACAAATGTCGGGTCTCGTGAAGCAGAGGAACTCCTTTTCATCGAGATGGTCCAGGTTTTTGCTCTGCACCTATCTCGTCCTCCCCATCAAAGCCACCAACTACGTTTAATTGAAAGGAGGCTGCGCTTCGCAAGGGTGAACTCATGCATCTTATTCACATGTGTGCCCCACCCCCTACGAACTGGGGGGTGGTCCCTGCGCCTTAACGTCCGCAAGACCCCTCTGAAACCTTGAACAGTTGCAAGATCAGCAACTGTCAAACGATCCGCCTGCTGGACCAGGAGTTTCCCCAGCAACACGAACACAAACAAACACAACTCACAGTCTTGAGGATCGAGCAGCCCAAATCTCAGACAAATGCCGCAGTCAACCAAGATCTCGCACAGGCCCGCCCTGGATGAAGCATGCGATCCCCGCTCACCAAAATGACTCGCAGGGGCCACCACCAGCAAGCGCGTTCGCTCATCGCCTTGCTGTCATACACCCCGTGCCAAGGGCGCGTTGGCTCCAATGGTCAGGGG